GCTTGGCTTCAGAAATTAATTGAGCTTATTTTTGGTTAAGGACTTACGCGACATGTATATTGAGACTTTTCGATTAGATCGTGTCCCCGAAGAAAGATATTCTCCTGTCTACCTCGGACCGTAGCCGTAAATTACTGATACCGATATGTGGTCAACATTGACCGTTGTGTTTGGGAGTCTATTTCGGATGACTTTTACGCTTCTCTCTGGGAAATGGATTATAAATGACATTACTTATGTAGAATTTTGCCTGAGATTTGTTTATTCAGCTTTCTTTTAAGTAACGGTAATTTATTTATAGAATTTCTGAAATTACTCGTAATGGTCGTTCAGGTTGCACTTTAACGGCATCACAGAATGACTGTTGAAAATAGGTGAGTTTTTCCTTTAATGTCTCTTTTTCCGCTTGAAAAGGAAATTTTCGAAATTTAAATAGATTTTTCTACTTAAGTATCTTGATTTTATTCTTCAGTTGAATACAAATTTGGAAAGAAGAAAGTTGTATTTTTTAATGAACGTACTTTTTTCTGATCTGAGAGAAAAATGAAGGATCACTGAATATTTCACCCTTCTTATCCTCACTACACGGTGTGGAAATAACTTGATTAAAATTAAATTTATAGAAATTTAGTTACAGATTTACGATAGCATCAGATGCTGTTGTGTGCAAAGAAGCCATATTGAAAGGAGATATAACAATTGGTTCAGGTATTGTCAACACAATAAATATTGCAGTGTTCTCGTAAATATTTGCTTCAAGTGCTGTATGACTTCGTTTACATGGTTTCTGTTTGTGTACTTTATGCTCTACTCGAGAATAGTATTACTTATTCCGTGTGTCGTAGAAAAATTCCTCTCTACTTTCAAATATCGAATAAATCATAGCGGTTCCATGTATGCAATGTAATTTTTTATTAAGAAAATATGGCATGTTAAAGCGATTATCACCGAACCTTTTATTTGCATTAACTATTTTATTGGAGTATACAGGAAGTTTTTCTAAAATATTTCAGAAAAAAAGAAAGTTAAAAAAATTTTCATTTGCTTTCTTTCTCTCTTCTCATCTACATTCTTCCCTTTTTTGGAGTGACCATTATGCTCTTTTGATGAGAATTTCGATTTCTAAAGGATAAGTCGATTAAAATCTCGAACCATTACTTAAAATACATTTAGGTACTGTTGTTCATCCGACTGCTGTTATACGAGCTACAAATGGTCCCATCATTATCGGAGAAAATAATAACATCGAGGAAACCTGTGTTATTGAAAATTTGTGAGCGAGTTTAAGCTATTCGAATAGTGTGAAGAACTTATAGCAACAAGAAAATTTTTCTTTTAGTCCCTTATCATTTTTTAAAAAATGTTTCAGGAACGAAAATGGCCAAACACTATCAATCGGCCGTGACAATGTTTTTGAAATTGGATCTGGTGGGTGAAATGCTAAAATAAAATTTATATTCCGATCTCCGATCTTTTTTTTTTCTAAAATTCCAAAAAGTATCGTATTGTTTTCAGTTGTTCACGCTCCAAAGATTGGCGACAATAATGTTTTTGGCGTACGATGTAAGGTCGGTCCAAATACAACAGTTACGCGAGGCTGCTTTATTGGTGTCAATTGTGTGGCAATGCTACAGGAAGAGCTACCAGAAAACACCGTAATATACGGTAAAAATAATAGCCGGCGAGTAGCGAGAGATCCGCCGCAGGTAAATGATTATTAAAACAAGAATTTGAAGATATATCAGCACTCTGGCGATCAGTAGTTCTACAATAGAAAAAAAACTGAATTTGATATAAAAATCTGCAGAATAATTTTTTTTTTTTCACAAATCTTTGGGAACGAATTAACTGCATTGAAATCTTAATTGAAATTTGCACAACTCACTTTTTTCAGCTTCAAACAAGCCAGCTGGAATATTTAAGGAAAGCCTTCGAAAGATTCCATTATTTCATAAAATCGTCACAGTAGCAGATCATCTTTTCTATTATAATGACTCCTAATGCAAGAATTCGAAAGCATTAATTCTTTTTTTAAAGAAAACACTGAATATGACTGAGTGTGTTAAGCTTCATTTTACATAGCGTTCCCCATTCAAATCTTATAATCGATCAAAAGGCAATGTGTGATTACCGCAAATTGTATCATAAATTTTTATTTTGATGAAACAACAATGCTTGATGATTGTCTCAGCATATTATTATATATAATAAATTAAAAATTCCTTTTGACTTTTCGTTTCAGGAGCATTTGAAAATTATTCACATACAATCAGCAAAATACAGATTGTTTGGATCTCATAAAAAGTGTTTAAAATTTTTTGAACGAAAAAATATCAAGAGAAGATGGACAACTTTTCGTAGAACTATTCTCTAAAGAATATTGACAGTGTATATGCATCAGAAGATTTTTTTTGTAGAATGAGTCACCACCGGTGATTGTAGATATCTGACAGTTAACTGGGAGAATTGATATGATGAGAGACACAAAATCAAAATAACTCATCAGAGGAAGGAAAGGGTACCATACTACAAAAGAAGGAACGGATACTATAAAAGGATACTGATCGATAAAGTTCAATTATTCAATTATTACTCTCAATTCATTCGTTCAAATTTGCAACCGAAAAGCAGTGTTCACTTCTTTTCATTTTATTCGATATTTAGAAATCCGTAAAAATTTCATTTTTCCCAAGGAAAAAATCTGATTTAAAGTTTGAAAGAAATTTGCCAACCTTCTAGTCAATCATCTCTTTATTCACTCCTCCTGGATTATATGTCGTTTATAACAGAAGATGTTCTTCAGATTTCGTTCTCAAAGTTATTTATCCCTCACTTCTCAATTAAGACCATTTGCTTTATACAGTTTCTTTATTCTTGTTTCCTCTTAAAGCCTTCATTTTTTTCGTCTGCATACTACCAATATTCTGTTTACCAACATGAATACGTCCAAGCTGAGTGCCAAATACATCCGTTGACGTATTTTTTCGTTGTTTAGCCTAAAACAAGAGTTTTAACAAAAATTTATAATGACAGATCTTGGTCTCCTGATTTTTCTCTCATTACGGTCTTTCAAAATCATCCATGTCAAATTCTTTTTCCATTTCAAACGAACTATCAGAATCATAAAAAACAAAATTTCTTGATAGTTTAAAAGGAATTAATTTGGTAGCTACTTATTAGTCAATCTTGTTTGCTGCAGGAGCCTTCCTTCCATTCAAACTATACTATCCCTTTCAGACAGTAACCGAAGCGGTTAATTAGCTAGCCGAATTACTACAAAATTTTTACCAAAACTTGTTTCGGCTGTTTCATTGCTTCTCGGAAAAGACTTTCACTAGCGAATTTATTTCGGTGCACCGAAAAATCAATTCTTGGCCCAATTTCAACGAGTTCTACTCTTGGCAATGTACCCGTTGACTTCTTCAAACAAGTCCTGAATTTCAAAAAAAAACTTTACTTAGTAATTACTCTATATAGCAAATAATAGCTAATCTCAACAGCAAGTCCTATAAAGAGGTGACTGTCGCATTGCATCAACTACTGAATCTGATCATTTTGATAATTCGTTCACATTAAACTGTTCTTCCCAATTTTTTTCTCTGTATTTCTAGAATGTATTTCTAGTGTTAATTCTCTTATAAGGCAACCAGATTAAAATGATTCCTCTCCTGGATACAGTTTAGCAATACACACATCTAACAGTTGCTAACAATTATCTTCATCCAGAGATTGCTGCTTCATCCAAGTAATCAGCTTTCCTATAAAAAAATAAATGCCTGAAACATGCAAAAAGATGTACCTGTATACTCGAAGATAAATTTTCTGCTCAAGAGCAGTTAACGAAATAACGAGTTCCAATCCTTGTAAGCGTATATTTTCAATTACTGCACCACGGAACCAATCGACCATCAAATTACCAATACGCTTCATCGATTCATCCCTTTCAAATTCGGTTCCTTGTAGAATTATGCAAGGTTTACAACCCAAAGATATTTTGGATGACTAAAATATTATACATTCATGTTTTACATGTTTTCCGGAGCGAAAATTTCTAAGAGAAGAATAAAGAAAAGGTGTGGAAAAATGACATTTTTAAAGTTATTAATTATTTACTTTTCTTTAAATCAGACAAAGCAAATATAATTTATCGAATTTTATGAGTAAAATTTCCAAATCTAAGCTTAAACATAAATGACTAATTGAAACAGTATTATGCATTTATTAACTCACTTGTCGATATTATGTTGCAAAAAATCAGAAAAATTCCACCAAATATCAATTTTGAAAAGTTGTTAAGTGCTTTTAGGAATTAATAATGGCAATGAGATATTCCGTTCCAATTTCCACAACAGTTTTTTTTAAAATTAATCTGCCCTCTTGCTTAGGTCTAGTGTTAACAAGATGCTAATTACTATAAACATTTGAACTACATTTGATTCGCAACACAGGTACAATCTTGTATGAATTGAAAAACCTCGGGCTTTCGAAAACTTTCGTTCGAATTATACTATATTTCATTAAAATTCACAAGCCTAATAAAATCATCTTGTCCTTCTATAAAACTTAGAAGTCAAATTAAAAAATGCGTCTATTCCAACTTCTTATAACAAAACTCACATTAAAATCTGCAGATTTAATAAAATTCTCAATTTGTAATTCGACCATATCGAGTACGTGACAGTCATACATACGTCCCATAACCAAACTATTCCGATGTTTCTTGGAATTTGAGCCGAACAGAAATAACGATGTGTCATATTTCATTGCAAACCTCTCCAATTCAACATCATTTTCAAATGGATGAATCGGATTATGTCTGAAAATAATAAAATATCAAATTATTTGCCATGTCATATGTTCATATTCATCCAACAAATGACGAATGCTCATAACGAGAAACCGTATTTTGAACAGCATAAAAATGATTATGATTAAGGTCAGACCTTTTCATCCGCATAGCCAATGGCTTTTTCAAAGCATAAAGATCAGCTAACGCATCAGTAATCGTTTGGTTTGTTTTACCACCTTTCACGATTATGGCCGTTTTATCGTTCTCAACAACTTTTGGTTGACGATTTTCCAGAAATCGTTTCCCGCGGCGTGTTTTTGCCCTTCTGAAATAAAAAATTACTGTTTGAACGAAACAAATGAAATTTTTGCTATAAATGGCAAAACAGCCCATTTTTCGACAGAAAATAAAAACTACTTGAATATCAAAATGATAAGATTATATCAGCCGCACCATCAAAAATGGTGAAAGACAATCATCCACTACTATCACAAAAACTTATTCATGCAGCAAATATAAGCACCAAGAAAACAACTATACAAGGAAGTGTAAGTGATGAGACCGTAAAATAGGAAAACGAGTACATTAACAGATAAAAATAATGGTCTCGGATTTGTCAAGTTTAAAAGACATGAAAAAAAATAAATAGTAATATGAACCTTTGCAAATAAATCTAAATTTTGAAGTTGATAATAACCATATGGTAACTTACAGACCACAAAAACTGCATATAATGAATTTATGAAATAACAAAACCACCATTTATTTCAATTTTATCTAATGATCAGGCTTTCAAAATTTGATTATTCAAAACTTAACCGTCGCAAAATTAAAAAATCAAGCTCCAACATATAATCAACCAACCTCAAACTATTAGTTCCCATTGCACCTTCCCACCGAACGAAATGATACTGCCGTTTCTTTATTCACTCTGAAATTCATTCAATGTTAACAAAACATCCAAATTTCAAGAGGGAAAACGTTGAAATTATTTTTCACTCAACAAACAAATCTATGTTGCTGGGATGAATACGTTGGATATAAACAAATGATTTAACTAGGTGATATAGTTGATACAAAACTTATCTAATAATTAGAACCTTTAAATTACTTTTAGACGGTTTTTTAGTATCAGGAAACTGTTCGAACTGAGATATCACTGAATAACGATCTAAAAAAATGTATTCTGTATTTTAAGAATAAACATCTTTAACTTCAAAGCTGAATATACATTTAAACTGACGTTTAGAAACAATCTAAAAAGAACGAAAAATAAATTTTCAGAAAAGATGGACGTTTCAACTAGTCGTGAAATGTCAAGCAGCTCATTGCAAACCAAACAGCCAACCAGTAGTGAAATAACTGCTTTGGGCTCTGAGATTTCAGAATTTTTGGTGAAAAAAGACGTTGCGGTAGATATCCCGGAACTTTGAGCATTTACCTTACTTAGTTATTAGCAACTCACTCATATAACACTTACTGGCATTCATCGGTGCTACAGCAAATGATAATCATATGCATAACTTTAGCTTGTAATCTTAACTGATGCAGTAATGAGGATAGCGATTAGTCAATAACTAATGAAATTTAATAAAATATCTTCGAAGACAATTTTCTAGGAAATCAAGGATAAAAAGAAAAAAGAATCCCTATCTGTTAACGATTAGAATAAATGTGGAAACACCGACATTATTGTTTTCGTAACGCGATTATCAAAATGACAAAAATCAAGGATATCATTGCAAAGTGAATTTTGGTTCTGATAGGCCAATAAAGTTTAGAGGTCAGGCGAGTTGAAGTACATTGGTGGGGAATGGACTAAATTATGATGGATGTAAGGTGGTTAATTCTCTCAAAAAGATCCTCAGTTTTTGTTAAACAATCAATTTCAAAGAATGTTTACACTGTAACTTTTGCGCATATTAGCATACA